CATGTTCTCGATGATCGTTGGTGGAGCATTTTATGGCCTCTCGAAACACATTACTCCACAAGTTGAATCACGAGCTGCTTTTGCTACAACCCCAAAGACATCCTGCTCTGACTGGTTGCACGCCTGATCATGTGAGGCTATGTGGTTGGAAACATCTCCGTCATTTTAGCAAGCAGAGATGTGTGGAGCTCAGTGGTCGAGCCGACAACGTTCCCAAAACAAACCCTGATGCTGCGTTAAACGATCCAGCAGTCTCTCCCTAGCCTGACGGCAGAAGAAACATACAAAAGGTGCTGAAGTTCAATTCCGCTTCTGCGATGCAGGCTGCTTCCTGCGGAATGCAGAAGAAAGAACCTGGAGTCTTGTGCGATGTGCTGGTTCTTGAAATCCAGTTGCTTGGGCTCAGGTGAACCGGCAGGCCCACAAGCAACGCCTTCATTTGATCAACGCCTGGCTGCTCCATCACAGATTCCCGATGCCCTTGCGCGGTCGCATCCTGGCTTCTGAACGAGTTTTTGCATACACGATTGCGCATGCGCCCTGGGGCTTTTCCTGACGTTGACCCTGCTATTGCTTTCTATTGCTTTCTCCGGGTTAACTAGTTGGCCTTCGGAACTCATTATGGTTCAGCCTCAGTCTAATGAGGTCTTTGGAGCTACTACAAGACCTTGGTCAAGAACAAGGCGCACCGGGGTTGTCCTTCTCGCTGATATTTGAGAGTGTGAGCACACTAGGACATCAAGATTCATCCGAAGTGCTGCAGATAATTTGTTCTTCCGGGATTCTTGCTTGAAAGGATTGCTGAGTCACTAAAGATGAACTAGAGGCCCTAGATTCATTGGAGGGTGGATGTACTCGACAGGAGGTTGGCGGCCATCACTAGTAGGGTGGAGGCCATGGCTAGTAGGGTGGAGGCCATCACTACATCGCTACTAGGCCATTGCTACCAGGGTGGAGGCTATGAAATTAGGTTGGAGGCCATCGCTACTAGGGTGGAGGCCATCTCTAGTAGGTTGGCCTCCATCGCTAATAGGTTGGAGGCCATCGCTACTAGGGTGGAGGCCATCTCTAGTAGGTTGGATGCCATCGCTATTAGGTTGGAGGCCATCGCTAGCAGGTTGGAATCCATGGCTAGGGTGGAGGCCATCGCTACTAGTGTGGAAGCCATCGCTAGTAGGGTTGCAGGCCATCGCTACTAGGGTTGGAGGCCATAGGTTCAGAAAATGTGGTCTTGGGGGAGGAGCACTGGTGAAGCATTCAAGGAGGGTGGATCTACTCGACAGGCTGCCCTGGACGACTCTTCCATTTTCAACGAACTCTCGCCTGAGCTGCGGACAGATGTGGTGCCTGAACTTATATTTGGAGGGCATATCACGATAAAGCTAAGTCTCCCAAGTCTGCTCGCAGGGATCCGGCACGAAAATACGAAAACCTTGAAAACGCAAAAACTTGCAAAGCCCACGAGACCTGCGAAACCACAAAAACCAAGAAAAACAATTATGATAAGTCTCCCAATAAGGCTGCCCCGTCCAAGTCAAGCTGAGATACTTGTGTTTCTTTATTTTTGTTGAAGACTTTTTGCATGCTGCTCTTCCACGCACGCTCAGACGTGGTTGATAGTGCCAACCCACACATTGGGTCCAAATAGAGCATTGGGACGATTCTTTTTTTAGTGGCCAACTACTTTAGTGTTTTATTTGTGCAGACCTTGGCACGAGTAGGTTGCGATTGGTGCGTCAAAAGTTGGAGAGACCCTTTTCTGTCAGAGATTGCAAATTGAACCAGATTATTCATACTGAAGGCAGTACTTAAGAAGTTGTCACATGTTTTTGTCACATGTGTTCATGGCTGTGGCTGTGCTTTTTTGTTTCTACCTTGCAATTCCTCGATAACTTTGGGATGGTCATCCAGACATTGCCAGACTGCAGGCGCAATATTTGGTGCCTGCGGAGTTGCTCAACCACTTGCTATTCCAAAACATACCATCGAGTGCAATCGTGAGAATTGTTCCTATACTACAACAGCAGCTGGGCTGAAAGATTAATTAATTGCCCTACCCTTTACCAGCTCCAAGGGCTGTGCTGGTGCCACTGTTTTTTGTTTGGTTTGAAAAGACTGCCGGGAAGTGGAAATCCCAAAGCAACGCAACCAACTATGAGTCATGATGAACCAGCGTGAGTCTTAACGTGTCTTTAATGTCAAAGGATTTGGTCAAAGCATCTGGTTCCGATCAACATGTTCCTTTGATGGTCAACTGTAGCTTTGAGGATCACCGCCCAGCCAATGGAGCGGATTACCTCCTTTGGAAGCATTGGCTCGGGTATGTTTGTGATCCTGGCCTCTTGGCCCATAGATGCAACGAGAGAAGATGACAGAAGACGAGCATGACTTGTATGAAATAGCGCGCCAAAATGCCAATCATCCAGTGGTTTGTGCCATGGTGTTTTTGTATGCCATTGCGTAAGAAGTTTCCATTTTGGTGTCCATTAGGTGTGTGTGTGTGTGTGTTTCAAGTCTCTACTTGCAGAGAGAAACTAATTGCTCAGGATGGTATTGCCATCATGGATCATAATGCGGAAGATGCTCCCACACGGGCCTCCAAAGCCCCCGAAGTGCTCAGAGCTGGCGATGCTTGGATAAATAGAGGGCAATTGGCCGATGTGCGCCCCGGTTGTCCTACGCAGAACAGAACCACCTGACGCATCTATATAGACAAGAGTTGAATGCAAGTTGCAGACGCTTGAGCATGAATTGTCGGATGTTTGTAGGGCCACTATTGCCTATACTTCTCAGGCTTCTCCGTGTACGTCTCTCCAAATAGGCGACAAACAATGTGCAGTGCACACTCCCGTTAGATGTATCGAAATAGATAAGACCACGGCACCTGCTGGCCCAGGATAGCTTTGGAGAAGAAATACTACTGGGCATTGAAAAGGAGTATCTTGGTGGGAAGCTCTTCAGGAGACAAAACGTTCCTTCTCCTTGGCACGAACACTGCAGAGTTTCAATTGTGTTGGATGGCGCAGGCCATATCAGCCCGTCTAAGACGCTTCCCAGAAAGGTTTAATGTGTCTCGAGAGACTTAAGTTAGCTTAAGGATCTCAGCAACTACTAGCGATGGCCTCCAACCTAAGTGCGATGGCCTCCAACCTACTAGCAATGACCTCCAACCTAGCTTAAGGATCTCAGCAAGTGTAGGGAGTGGGGAGGCCTCGACATTCCAGGCGTTTGAGAATCTTGCTACAACATTTTACAGCCACTTGTGCTGAAGGTACAGTTACAGTGTCGCAGCAACGTCGAAAGTGGTCACGGGGTCCCAGCTCCGCTAGTTGCCACGACGTTGCAGTCTCACCAAAATCTCACAAATCATCACAAAGCAATTCGCAGAAAGTGTTGGATTGAGAAAAATTTAGTTAGGATGCAGCCCTGCTGAACACTGCTGTTTACATCTGTGTGCATGGTTTAAGCCCAACCCTGCTGAGGTCATGCTGTTTATACCTGCAGATCTTTTTATGGAGCGCTTTGCTAATCTTCCAGAGATCCTGAATGTCATGCGGAATAACTTCACCATTTAGGTCACGCTCAGCACATGTTCCAAGTAAGTGTGTGTGTGTGTGTGTCATCACTTTATTCTAGCCAGGCAAAGCTTGGTGTGTAGATGTGAATGCTGAGTTGTGACCAATGGGTGTTGGTTGGCTAAAGTGGCTAAAGATTGCCAGATTGCCATACAAATACCAAAGCCGCAAAGACTGGGAAGGCTGTTCGCCTTCAATGCTGGAAAAGTCCGCTTAGTTGGATCAGCAAGATCCAGCAAGGATGCACTTGTGGCACCTCCTATAAGGGAGGAATACCCTTGTTTAGCAGCGTTGTTCAGAGGACCTGCTCGGAGAGTCTAGACAAAACGTAGGGTGTCCCAGATCAGGCAGGATGGTTACCACCATATGGAGATCGGTGAAGCAATAAATGATGACATTGTATAGCCGGCAATGACCCCCTTGTAGGTCGAAGAATGATGCAACGCTGCAATGTCTTTGATATTGAGCCCCGGGTCTTGTGCATTGCCCTGCATCTATTGACGACGCCCAGACTCTATATAACCGATCTGACTGCAAGAGATAAATATTTGTGGGTCCCACCCTAAGCAGATACAGCATGTGCAGTAGCATGTGCTAATCTAGTTTTGTCTCAACTTCAACATCGGATGATTTTACAGTCAAAAGTGATTAGTGGTGCACATGCACGTCGTGCACATGAGGTTCTGCATTGGTGTTTTCCACATGTCAAGAAGTAGTGCAAAGTCTTTCGACAGACATGCAAAACAACAAGAAGCTACTAGAAACAAGGTGCACCGCTACTAGTAACAGGTGCCTTACTAGTAGTAACAAGAAGCTACTAGGAGCAAAGGGCATCGCTACTAGCTAGGGCACAATGAATGGGTGTCGCTTTGGGCCGAAGGTTGCAGGTGAATCAGCTCCCCGATTCATGTTTTATGGGGACGGCGCTGTTTCCACGCAAGAAGCTTTGCTCGGATGAAGAAGAATCTAAAGCCAAAGACTAAAAGTTGTTAAAAAGCAAGCCTGTCTGGAGATCATGAACACTTTCCCTTCTCCACCTTCGCTCATGCCCTTGACCAGCATGGAAATGGCGATGTGCGTATTAGTATACAATTCGTGCCGGCAGAACCAAATCGCCCTGTCATGCCCAAGGCATGGCGCAATGAGACCCGTGTCACCTGAAGGCAAATTGGCCTTGCCAGCTCTGCGCGGAAGACACGGAAAAGTTGCGGAGCCTGGTCATTCCAAGCTAGAGCCCCGATCATTCCAATCTGTCGAAATAGCCATTGCCGCAAGTGCCCATCATTGCACCCTGTCTCAAGGTTTGCGGGACAGAGAGAGTGAGAGAGGGAGAGAGATCACAGATGTTACCGGCGCCAAGCTGGAATCAGAAGGAGCTCGATCACAAAAAAAGAAACTAGCAGCCATTCTTCTTGTGTGGGACAGGTGGCAGCTTGGTGCCACATCGGTCGCAGAGTGCAAAAAGGAGAGTGAGGTGGTTTTGTTCTGTGGCATTTATTCTGTGAAGACGCACACTTCTCAGAACTTGTGGTGCTGCATTCTCTGGTTCTCTTTGTTTCTGGAACCACGGGCCCATGTTGAAGAAAGATTAAGAAAGAAAGCCTGTGTCGCTAGCCGCTAGACGACATGAATTGGGTGTGCTTCAGCAGAGCTTCATTCACCAAGGCGTGTCCAGTCAAGTGGCCGTTGCGCACGGTGTTTCCGTTGCTTGTTCTGCCAGTGGCCTCAGACCGACACCTGGAGCCTTCGTGTCTCGCGGGTCCTCTCACGGGTCGACGTGAATCTCAATCTGCCCGTAGACATGCAGCACATGCACTTGTTAACATCTTTGTTACTAGTAGCTTCATACAGCCAGCCATTCCACCGAAGATTGTTTGACACTTTTTGTTTTCATGGGGGTTGCACTACGCAGCTGACACTGCCACAATCCTTTGTTGATCGGAAAGATGAGGATGATGAGGTACAAACTTCCTGGACTGAACTGAGCTGACAAATCAGAGCCACACGGTGTGTGCCCGATCTCATGGTTATCTCTGTGTGTGCCCGATCTCATTTATTAGCTTGGGTTTATATTACTGTACGTAAGACATCTCAAGACCCTCAAGTGCGTGTTTTTGTGAGGCTGTGGACGGAAGAGATCATCAAATCCATTCCAAAGTTGGGAGGCTCAGAGCACAACGTTTTGGGGCCACGTGCACAAGGGCAGCAGTCAATGTGTTTGACTTGCCGGGCGCCTCTCTTAACTCTAGGATGGACTTCATGTTGTTTCTTTTTCTTCCCCTTGTGCCTTGAGGCAGAGGTCATAGTCGCAGGATGCCAATTTGCCCAACATCGGACTTTTCTCGGACGCATCCGGTCAAATCCGAGCGAAAACCCTACAACTCGACTGGATGAACAGCAAGTGTCCATCCAATCTTTCCTTCTTCTCAAGCCTCCAAAAAGCCGAACGCATTGGATGGGTAACGTTCCAGAATTGAACGCAACAGACGGAACGGCCCGGAACGGCCCGGAACGGTGGTAAAACCCAAAGATGTTGAGAGTTTCGATATGTCGTCGATGTTGAACATGCTGCAAACCGTGGGCCGCTGCGCCTCGGTGAACATCGCTGCTTCTGCCAGGCCTTGGCTCAAAGCTTTTGCTAAGCTAAGCGGCCGCCATGGGGGACGCAGATGGCGAGGGTGATGGACTCACAGGGCCAGACCGGCTCAAGTATACCGAGGCCTTCAATATCTTCGACAAGCACCAGCAACTGAGCCAAGAAGTGAGGGAAATGAGAACACACTCTTTCAAACACCCTTGTTCAGAGCTTTTCGCGTAGGGTTTTGCGAGGGGTAATTGGTTTCACTCTCACCATCCATTGACAAGCATGCTTTTGAAAGGACCGCCATGTTTGCATACTTCAGGGCACCCTCAGTGTGTCTACGCTTTCTTGCCAAGATCAACATATCCAGGCAAGGCTACATCCCATGGAAGCCGGACTTTGCAAAGCTTTGGCGTGCCATTGGGCAAAACCCAACGGAAGCCGAACTTCGGCGAATCATCGAGGAGAACGACACTGGCACAGGGCACTTTCAGCTCGAAGCTTGTCAGTTTGGCTCTGTGTTCTTCAAGGCCTGACATAAGCTCAAGAAGGTATAAGGTATTTGTAAGGATTTCCTGTCAATCCATATTTTGGTTCATTCCATTTCTCGCAGCCATGGTCTTGACCCGTTCTCCTCAACCTCGTGGCTTTGAGGTTTCTGAAGGCGCGGACTGGACTACAAAAGTTGATGCCATAGTGGACTTTATATGGCATCGTCAGAGGTTGTTGAGGGTGTTCATGTTAAGAGCAAAAAAGTCTGTTGGGTTTGCGAGAAAGCTGGGTGAGGACCACTCAAAGTTCGTTGCGAGCAGATGGTTGAATGGCACATGTCGGATTGGGTCGACCAACACGCTCATCTGAGGAAACCTTCCTGAAGCTTTGTGAGAATCGAGAGGACTGTGCTGTTTTTTTAAAAGGGGCATGACATGAAGAGATTTTCTCGTGTTTAAAATCCTGCCATAGGTTTCTTCGCTTGCAGCCATGGCGGTGGTTGGCAGTTACTGGTAGGGTGCTAAAGGATGCTAAAGTTTGGGTGAACAACTTCTTCTTAGGTCATGATGTGGCCCTGTAGCCTGTGGTGTAGATCAACTTTTAGGCTAGGACTCCATCCACAGGTGCGATTTTTAAATAGTTCCAAAACTGCCGTAACTGTTCCCTTTTCTCTTTTTTCAGGATGCTTTGAGAAAAGAGCAGCTCATTGAAGCGTTCAAGACTTTCGACAAGGACGGCAAGGGCACCCTCACCATCGCTCAGATACGATACGTGTCTTGGTCAAACTCAACGACTAACTAACAGAGACTGGAAGGTTAGGGTTTTTAACGATATCGAAGGATAGAAATGGCTGAAGTGAAAGAAGAGGTTAGGAATTGGGGCAGGCCACTTGGGGCAGCAGGCCCAGTAGCACTAGGGATATGGGGCCAACGCTTACATAGGTGAAGTTTAGGACTTCAGGATCCGAAGCAACATGTACACCCTCACTGCCCCAATTTTCCACTGCAGGAACAAGAAGGATCCTTTCAGAAAGTCCACAGTTCCAACGGAACAGTTCATTATAACCTGGGAACAGTCCAAAACTTGTTTTACTTGGAAGTTGGAGGGCCATCGCTAGTAGGTTGGAGACCATCGCTAGTAGGCTGGAGACCATCGCTAGTAGGTTGGAGGCCACCGCTCTTAGGTTAGACGCGATCGCCAGTAGGTTGGAGGTAGTAGGTTGGAGGCCATCGCTTTTAGGTTAGAGGGCACCGCTTTTGGGTTGGAGGCCATCGCTAGTAGGTTGGAGCACCATCGCCATTCGAAACAGGTTTTTTTTTTTTGCTTGAAAGGTGTTGAAAGTGTCTGGTCAACCTGGGTGAGTGTATCAGGTAATGATGACCATGGGAGACCCACTCAATGATGAGGAAGCTGACCGTACCTGGGCCACAGACATTCAGTCTTGACTTGTTCTGTATGTTGAGTGTTTTGACCCAGGTTGAACGGTTGGAGTTTTGGCCCAACTGTCCATGAAATGTGTGCGTTAGTTGGCCTTGCTCTAATTAGTTTTAGCTGAACTACATCGGGGATTGCATCGTGAGTATCATGAGGTATTCTCTCATGAGACATTCTCAGTTTGCACTCACTGCAAACCAGCCAAGGTTTCATTGATTTCGCAGATAAAAACAAAGAAGGCCCAACAGCGGAGATCGATTATGAAGAGTTAGTGGAGCGCTTGGACGAGACCTGGAAAGGATATTTTCTCCGGAATTTGTGTGGGCTCCCTTTCGAGAAGTTCAAGCATTGCAAGCCTTTAGCAGTAGGTAGAGAGAGCCAGGCATGGAAGTTGACAGATTGGGATTGCTTGTTTCTGTTTGTGTTGAGAGAATTTCACGTCCTACCAGTCAGAAAAAAGTGATTACTGTACTTTGTCCTCACATCCGTCACATCCCTGGAACGCTTCTCTGAGGACATCGATCCTGGAGACAAAGTCTGATGGCCTTTTTCAAGACAATTCTCAGATGAGGACGGAGGCAGAGCATGCTCTGGAAGAATTGTTCTATAGAGCATGATAGAGCGTATGATAGAGCGCAATGAAGTCCGCCATGCCCTACAGGGTTCAGCCTTCTAATTCCTCACGATGTCATGTTCAATGTCATGTTCAACTGATTCAACTTGCCATCCTTCAGCTCAACCAGTGCACTGACGCAAAGATGTGATAACGTTGCCAGCTTTGTGCAGATGGCATGTCTCACTCGGCCGGACTGGACTTGTGACAAAGCCGACAAAGCGTGCGGGCAGGGGGAAGGGCTCGAGCGAGCCCACGGTCCTTCCGCAGAAAGCCTCGTCATGACGAAACAATTTAAATCTATTTTTCATGTTTTGCACCTGGAGCCCGAAGCGACACAGTGTTCCACCGCCGCCACTCGGGCCCAGCCCCGTCGGTTCCTGAGGCAACCGAGATCAGCTCCAGGAGCGGAGATCGCCAGGTCAGAGATGGGAGATGTTTACAGCCCGGCGTCGGAGACCAACACGTCACTGTCCGATTGTGGCATACGACATTGCACGACGGTGAATACATTTACCACTCGCAATGTTCAATCAGCTTTTGCATTTATGATGATTTGCTTCAAGGAGCAGATGAGTTGCAGTCCCTTACAGAACCGTTCCATCACCTGTCCATCTCTGGAATTGACATAACGAATCCTCGTATATAGCTCTTTGGAGTCACAGTCGTTGGAAGTGCGGCTGCGAGCTTCCAGCTGAGCACCGCAGAGCGCACTGTCCTTGCATCCCTGCAATCCTGACTTGCATGCCTGAATGCAAAAAGCAAGCCCTCCAGGAGCACCTTTAAAACTTTAGTTTGCAACTGCACCACTGCTGCAACCTTTAAGTGGAAATGCCAGGAACTACTAGTAGCTTCTTGCTACTAGTAGTAATGTCCTCCAACCTAATAGCGATGGCCTCCACCTAGTAGCTTCTTGTTACTTTGGAGGGGAGGCACAGCCGCACCAAAATCAGGGCCCCGGAAGCGGCAGCTTCAAACCCCTCAGAAAAGCGGACCTAGTAGCGATGCCCTTTGCTCCTAATAGCGTCCTTGCTCCTAGTAGCGATGCCAGGCGCCCCTAGTAGCTTTTTGTTCCTAGTAGTAAGGCCAGGAGCTCCTAGGAGCGTCCTTTGCTCCTAGCTGGTTTCGTTTGACGGTAGGATCCCATATGTCATGCAGCGACGCTACTGGAATGCTGCACCACAGATCACAGTTAGCGGCTAGCGGCTTGCAGTGCCGTGCTCCAGTGCTGAGATAGTCATTTCACTTGAGACTGTAAGTGGATTGAGTGAACTATCACAGTTCCAATCGAGCCGAAAAGGTGCAGTCGTAGGGCCCAAAGAGTCCCAAGCATTGAAGAATGAACAAGCAAGAAGCTACTAGTAGCAAGTGCATCGCTACTAGTAACAAGAAGCTACTAGGGCTCCTGGCCTTACTACTAGGAGCAAGGACGGTACTAGGGGCTCCTGGCATCGCTACTAGGAGCATTCTTACTACTAGTAGCTAGAAGCTACTAGTAACAACTGCATTGTGTTCTTCACTTCCTTGCACAGTTTGCATGCGATCACGCTGCTTGCAACCGCATTGCTTTTCCCGACGTCAATCAAAGCTCGAAGCGAGGTGCAGTGGCCATTGGGAGGCCCGACACGTCATCAGCCAAGAGTCGGTCTTGCGCATCAAATGCATTTGTTTGTGTGGTGGCCGCAGCGTGCTTTGTTTTAGCTTGCAAACAGTAACCTGTACAGGCTGGCATGCTAATGTGATGGGGTCGCATCAGTTGATAACCAGATGTGCTCCTGATGTATGCACAAGTAGTTCTATTTAGATACCTCCACTCACTGACTCTTAAACCAAGGTCTCAGCGTCGGATTTGAGTCTCACCACCCAAGAGGCAGAAAAGGTGCAGTGTGCATTGAAGGATGTGACGGGTAGGACATAGGACACTCACTCTCCAACAGGCGGAAGAGTTTGTTCCAGGCTTTTTTCAGAAGTGCAACCCAGGATGTTGTTCTCACAGATTGCTTGCAAGAAGTGGAGACAAAGACAGACCTGCTGGCTTCCCCTGCATATAACTTTTTGTGTATTCGCATATGCATTTACAAATTAATCATTTGATAGAGGGTTCTTCAGGTATTGTATTGTTAATGCAGGGTACCTTGATTGGATGTTCTTTAGTTTTAGGAGTAACTTGTTAAATCAGCATGCAATTGTTTGGGAGCTCTTCCTTTTTGTCTAATTAAATGATTGGATAAAGAATATTAAAGTGGGAAGAGCGCAAAACAATGGGTAGAGTAGTGCAAGGAGCCAAGAAACGCACAGTAATGTTAAATATATATATATATATCAACCTCTGCTCTGCTCGCTTCTACTTTGCGTTGCGTTGATCTACATAGCCCTACCCTGGGCTACTTCTCCTGTTCGTAGTCCACCTGTCTTTGCATATGTATGTATGATATATGTATCCGTCTCCCATACCAACAACCACCAAATTCGTTCAACCTTAATCCCATCATAAAGATGGAACCACGCCCGAGAATAGCAATATTTTCCAAACTAGTCCCAACCTTTGCAAGATGAACATAGTTTCCAAATCATTGTTTGTGTGTTTTCTGTTCCTTTTGGCTTTAGGATTCGGGACATAGTTTCCAAACCACTGTGTTGTTTAATGTGTTGTTTTATGTTGTTTTAGGATCCTGCGCGCCGTTTCCAGATCAATTGTTGGACCCTAGGCGGCTGCAAATCAACGTTTCTTGATTTAGTGGTTCCTGAGAGTTCCAGGGTGTGTTTTTTCGGTCAAGACGGTCGGCGAGTGAGCTCAGATGTGGGCCCAAGGAACGGACAGGCTCGAACGAAGTTTCTGAACGTTGGCAGGTTGAGTAACAAGGTTCGCTACTAGGGGCTCCTGGCATCGCTACTAGGAGCAAGGACGCTACTAGGGGCTCCTTTCTCAGGTAAAAGTCACAGGAGTTCGGCTAGCTGCTAGAGAAACAGCAACACCCAGCGGTGCTCCTGAGCGCACAAGCGTCCGTAACACAGCATGCACCCCCCAAGCACCCTGACAACGTGGGGTTCATGAAATCTTGGCCGAGACGAGGCTGGGGCCTGCACATTCGGACGCGTTAGTGCATTTATCACGACTGGGACAGTGGTACTACATGCAACTACTAACAGCAGTACCCACGTTGGAAGCTGCAACTATTCCATCGATTTTGGAAGTTTTTTGGATTGCAGCGGCTGGCCCAGCACTTGGGAATCCATGAAGGAGAGCGTTTGAAAGGACCCGAAGGCTCCTAGACGCAGTCTTCAACATACTGACACTTTCAATGCTAGGGTAGGGAGGGAAAGAGGGAGAGAGGCAAAGAGACAGAGAGACAGACAGAAGGAGACGACAGAGAGAGAGAGAGAGAGACAGAGCTATCTAGAGTCATGGCGTGGGGCCAGAGGGTTTGCTTTCGTCAAAGGAGAAGAACCGTCGCACCTGACAGTTTCCAGGTTGGCCTTTACCTGCGTTGGCCCTCGCCATCAACCTCCACCAAGTCAGCTTTGTTTCAAGGACGAAACTGGCCTCCTTTGCGTGGGCCGCAAGGAGGCCGAGAACGGGCAATGTTGGGAAGCTGGTATGGATACCATATGAGAACCTGAAGGGTGCATGTTGAAAGTGCTCTTTTGCATCAAACAAGTCCGCTACAGGAGACTATTGAATGTTTTGGATGCTGCATAGGAGCACCTGTTTGCGACGGGATTTTTTTCTTGCAGCTGCACCAGTCCTCAGCCAGGCGCATTTCATTGCCGCATAGGACCATAGCAAATGCTTCAAGGCTTTTCCAACTGAATAGCTTTGTAAAACTGCTGTGCATTGGTACCAATCAGCGGAAAGAACTAGAAAGAAATACGGAAAGTGTTTCGGTTCTTTGTTTCCGGCGTATCGCTCGAAGGACGGAAGGCTCATTTTGGCCTTTTGTTGAAGCCAGGTGCCGTTGCCCCTGGCCTTCACTGCAAAAGCAGAGACTGAGCTGTTCGACAACGCACTGCCAGAATCGCAAGCACAGCTCTATCGGCCAGTTCCTGAGGTTCTGCTGCCATCCGGAAACCAAATGAAACCGGAAACCATAATTTCACGTAGTTTCTCAAGCTTAGTTTCAGCATGCAAAGGTTTAGAATGGAAGATGTGGAGCAAGGAACCTTTGAAACGAAGGTCATCGTATGTCATCATGTTCCTAATATGTGTTTCGGTCCTTCGGTCCTTCGCAGTCATTTAACCCTGGGCAAAGAGCTTTCTCTTATATTCTGTTGCATGCTTTGATGTGCCAGCGGCCTGTCAGTTTGCATGCTTCACTCAGATTCCTTGTAGCATGAAAAGGTGAATTCTTACTGGGAAAGTCGCCACTTTCGATGAGGAATTTTGGCCTGAAACCGAACATTGGACTTCAAGTGAGGCGCCTTGGGTAAGTTTTGTGGTTGCCATGATGCCTTGGCGTTAGTTCCAGAATGTTCCAGAGCACCATTCCATTGGACATGGCATTTAGCCATGCAGCTCATTGCCGTTCGATGTGCATGGCGACATCTCATCGAAACCAGACGCCATTTTCCAAGCATTCAAATCCTAGTAACAAGTGCCTCGCTAGTAGTAACAGGTGCCTTACTATTAGTAACAAGAAGCTATTAGAATTAAATCTAATTTAAATGAAATTAAAGAAGAGAAAACACAGAAGCCTGACAAAGGGAGCGCTGATCCAACTTTCGCTCAGAACTGTGTAGGAGTCACTATTCGAGCAGATGTAGCATGGTTGTGCACCAAAGGGCCCTGTGCCCATTGATGGTGATAGGCAGTGACAGGCCCTCCGTGGTTAGGCAACTTTCCGTCCAGCTTAGCAATGTGGCGAAGCGAGAATGGACAAATACCACTCCCGAAGTTGGATGTGGAAATTGCTAATTTGGATTCTCAGCTTTTCAATGGAGAATTTGAGTTTAATCCGTATATTCGGACGGAAGTTGGCCTATCCTCACACACACAACGTTGTCACAACAGCGTTTTCGTCGGACTGAAAGCCAAACTATCACACTACCTACCTCTTCTCTTGCAAGGGTACCTTGGCCAACAAATTAAAGTGTGGGCCTTTCACAAACGATGCGAAGCAGCATGCTCTTTGTTTTTTTTGCATGCTGCCTGCCAGGAAGTTAAAGTGTCTGAACAAAACTGTTGACTGGGAACACCCTCATTTCCAGCCGAGGAATACCGGTTGCGCGCGGAAGTTCGAGATGAGATCTCGCAGTGCATTCAGCCTTTGTTGGCACGGCTTAGCTGGGTCGAAGCGCAGATTGGGGCTATGTCCCACGAACCTCGTGATGACGACAGCCTGTTGGAAGAGTCACAGAAGGAACCGCCACGTGTAATGCAAAAGATTTTAAAGGTCGGTGTGATAAGATGCGAGTACAATACTGAAAAGCAGCATCGCTAACCATTTTGCGTTGCTGTTCAAACCCGGTAGGAATATGCAAGAGTGTCTCGGATCCCATCAAGATCTTCAAAGGATATGGTGAGCGATTACCAACAACAACAATTCGAAACTACGACTTTCCAAGAGGTAAAATTTGAGGCTTCGACATGGAATCTTTTGCTGGTTCTTGGGCTTACAGATGCTGGCATGCTGAGCGACGTGCTTGCGTTCATGGTCCTTTTGGTGAATATCCTTATGCAAGCTTTGTTCTGTCAAACCATTCTCTCACCCCAGTTTGCTGGGACGTCGTTCTCAATACAAGCCGATGCTGCACGAAAGTGGCGCCAGTTGGTGGGACACGACGCCAGCTACATGAACCCTGCGGCACACAGCCTGGTATCCAGGGTTTGCAACAATGACCGGACCTTGATCATGGCAGATGCACAAGCATCATTGATCGAAAACATCAATGCCTATTTAGGCATTGAAAATTTGCAGATGCACGGGAGCTGTTTCTCACCGGGGGTGTTGCTTTGTACACTTTGCATCATGCAATGGTGTTTGTGCCTCCTTTGCATTTCCTTGCGGGGTTTTGCGTGTTCTTCAAATGTTCACTTGCTTTTGTTCAGCGCCGCTTCAGACTGCATCTACTGTGTTGCATGCAGGGCGCACACACCTCAGGTACTTGTTTGAAGAATTTCGGATGATTGTGTCCACCAGCTTTGCGCCTCTCAGTTGCAAACCTCAAGAAATGTTCGAGACCTCAAAGCATTCCAAACACAAAGCGGCTCCAACCCGCTCCAAGCCCCAAGTCCGCACACCCACGTGCTGAGAGCGTCAGGATCTGGCAAGTGCCACGTGCTGCGAGCAGCCTTCGCTCAAACCAGATCACGGGCATCTCCTTTACACGCCTGGTGGCACATGGTTTGTTGACTCTCCTACGGACTTGCATCGCAGTGGCTTAGCGGAGAGCGGACAAGTCACACGGGCACAGCAGACACTGCATCACGATGCGTGTTTGTGTGTGAAGATGTGCTAAGAAGACCCACAACTTCACGTTCCTTTCTGCGCTTCCATACTGTGTAGTGCTGCAGAAGTACACCTCTTCCTGCCTACCCTAGTTATTCCTTGCTTTCTGCCTTTAAATCCATTTCCTACTTAGTTCCCTGCACCGTGATTGCTCAAAGTTAGCTTCCACAAGAAACGTGTTTCCTTGTTCTTTTTTGGATGTGTCCGACCTGCCCAATGTGGATACCTTTCCCCAATATCTCCACAAGGCACCTTCCTACCTTTGGTATCCCTAGTTTGGATTTGTCATGCTAGAGCTGTTCCTGCTTCCTTGCCCCCGTCTTCTGAAATTGTTCCCTGCCTTCTCACAAGATTGGTCCAGCACCTCTCAATCCTTGGATTCCATTTGTCCGGTATGAACACCGTTTCATCATGTTTCATCGTCTTCGTCTGATTGTTTTTGCCAAAAAGGTGGTGCTGTTGAACGCCGGCATTCTTTGGCTGGCCATTGAAGATTTGATGGTGAATGGCGTGGCCTTGGTCACGATCATCAACGTGGATGAGAGGCTTTGGCCAAAAGGGAAGTGGCACAAGTGCACCTCCGTATCAGCGATGGCCTCCAACCTAAGGCTTGAAGTGGCTCAAGGGACGAAGCTCCATGTCACGCAACAACACAACAGGCTTCAGTGGACTTCGATACCCTCCACCAAGCTTTTGAGCATAAACTTGAGCATAAAACATGCATGAGTCGGAGCAATAGTCTTGGAAATAGGCTTTAATTCTGGCTCCAGTGATGCAAGTACACCCAAGTGCACCTGATTGCTTTAGCCGCCTTTGGAACTCAGGAAGTTATTTGCCGCCTTGATGCCCCGGAGGATTCAACGGAAAGTGGAGGAACTTTATGCGGTGACCCCTCGAAGCAGCTCGGAAGGTCAACAGGACACCCGTTTGATTACCATTTTGATGTCATGCCATGCAAATTTTAGCTTAGTCCAGTCCAGTGAGATTTCTGGCACAGCTAACCTGAAGACTCATGAAGATTCCAAGACTGCCCGCACTGAGGCAGCAAACGTGGCAGCCAAGCCGAATCCCTTGTGCTCCTAGGGTCCATCACCTGCATCTTGATTTGGTCCTTCGCAACTTTACTGGCACCTCTCAAGGACTGAGGTTGCACGCCATCACTTTTCGGTTGGAGGCCATCTCTATAAGGTTCAAGGCCATCGAATGGAGGTTGGAGGCCATTGCTTTTCGGTTGGAGGCCATCTCTATAAGGTTCAAGGCCATCGCTGTGAGGTTGGAGGCCATTGCTTTTAGGTTGGAGGCCATCTCTATAAGGTTCAAGGAGCCATCGTGTTGGAGGCCATCTCTATTAAGTTGGAGGCCATCGCTTTGAGGTTGGAGGCCATTGCTAGTAGACACCTCTCAAGGAGGCGATGCAGTTGGTGAAGAAAGAGTACTGCGCTGGAGAGCCTCGCTTTCTCGACTGGAGTTGGTTACAGAATGTCACCCAATGTGTCTTTTTTATGACTTACTTTGTTTGTTTTTGCTTTTTGTTTCTTGTCCTTTAAGGCCTTTTCCTGTGGCCAACAGATTCGCTGGAGCCTTTCCCCTCCCTCCGGAACTGGCGAACTGCAGGAACTGAAAGGAACTTCAACTTCCTCTTAAACACATTTTTTGGCCGACGCCCCCCCTCCCTACTTGATAAAGTAAGGCGACTAGTTCGCTACTAGGCTAAATTAGCTACTACATATGGACGCAGGATAGCGCACGCTTCTTCAAGGAAGCTCCCCGTGCTTGAGGGTGGGGCGAGCTTCCTTGAAGAAGCGCTCACACTAATGAATTGGTTGCTAGATCTGTAGGGAAAGGTACTATTGTTTAAAGGGATTCACAGAAATTCCCATGGCTAAGCTATGGGAAAACGTGATGTGAAGGAAAGGAAAAGTCGTGGTTCCCACCACGACCAGCTTTGAGTTTAATAGTGATATAGAGTTAACAATTGAAGACCGCATTATTTTCACATTCTTGTGGCACCCAGGATATTGACTTTGTTATGAAGGTCAATCCAAGTGTATCTGGGCGTGATTTTCTCTGTACTTTCACGACATGCCATAGTTCCAAGCAAGTCTTTGGCAGATCCTAAGGTGGGGGTCCCTGTTGCACTGGATACGGCGCCATACCTAAAGGATGAGAACCGTTCCTTCAGCGAAGTGGCAACACGTGACTTCCTGGGAAGCAGAGCTGATCCTTGCTTGAAGATACAGATGTATTATATGGTGTTATGGGTAGGTGCAGATCTATGCCCAGTTGCCTATTGAAGCATCACCTCCAGTGTCATTCACAGTTGGAGATGGGAAACTGTTTGGTGAATGCTGGCAAGTATTGAAAAGAAATGCCATATTTGCTTCCAAATATCCGAGGAGAAACGAGATCCGCTGTTTGCACCTAGGCGTTTTCACGTGTGATGTCAAAATGTGGCCTACTACAGTGTCTCCAACTCACCACTGTAGTACAGATAGTACAGAGATGGAGAAACACCAATTTGTGGAGCCAGAGCGGCTCGCAGCCAGGGACCATTTTCCACTTTCATGTTGTGTCACGTCCATTTCATGGGATAGACGTTTTGTAACAGAATGTAAAAGATACTCTTCTGTTTTTGAAGGGCGCGCACATTCTCTTGTTGTGGCTGCATTTCAAAGGTCTCTTTGTTTCGGGATGTTGATTGTGTTCGTTGGCACTTTCGTTGGCTTGTGCTTTAACCTATTTGGCCATTTGAGGCCATCTCAACCATCAAGAACTCAGATTTTGTGTCCTGGAGCGGGCGTAGCTGGACGCAGTGGTCCTCTGGTTTCTTAGATCACTGCGGAGAATGGAATAAGCAAGAGTTCATGAATTCTGCCGCTTCTGGGCGCTGATACGGGGTGCCCGGGGAGGGGGGTAGGCCGCTAGGTTGGAAGTTATATAGGTAGGTTAGCTAGGTAGGTCCGGTAGCTAGAAGCTAGAGGTAGCTACTACCGGCAAGTAAGCTACGACCTTGGACGCAGGATAGCTCACGCACTAATGATTTGGTTCCTAGATTTTTAGGGAAACTTCACTAATAGCGATGCCCTTGTTGCCAGTAGCAACGCCCTTTGCTACTAGTAGCATCCTTGCTACTAGTGGTAATGCCAGGAGCTACTAGTAGCTTCTTGTTTTTCGGATATTTTTCTCGGACATTTGATTTAGAGCGCTTCAAAGTCGAAGTTTTCCATGCGAGGTGGACCCCTAACTTGCCATGCTGTGTAAGAGGTTGTGTACAGACATGTTCAACAGACTTGTGTCGTACCGACACATATTGGCTCAAGAAGAGTGCGCGCCCGTCGTGCTTTTCAGCTTCCGTGCACGTCGCTCGCTCGCGTTCGCCCGTGCAGCCTTTCGTTCGCGCACTTTCGTGTTGTGTGTTCTTTAGGTTGCCGTAGGAGCTCCTTCAAATTGGTTTTTCTCTGATCTTGACTTTTCCAAGGCTTGGGCAGTTGGTCGTGGTGTGGGGCATTCCTGCGAGGAGCTTGTCATGCACTGCCTCGACGCTGACGCTGCGTTGCTACGATTGATTTGTCCAACAGCTTGCAGGTGTAGAGATCCATTGCTATCTTGGTGCCTTTGGAGTGAGAACTCATGAGAAGTCACAAGAACAAGTCGAAGTTGCATACAAACTCAACACGTTCAAGTTTCAGTCACGTTGCGCACTCAAGATTGACGGTGCAAATCCTGCAAGTTCACTTTCCCATCTACCAGTAGGGCAGTTGCAGGGTTGCAGTGTGACTACTGTATGTGCCAATCACGAGGCAGCACGGCGAGCTATAGCAGCCAAGGTACAGGCTTCCTCAAGCAGGTTGCTCCCAGTCTTGCATAGACATTGGCCACAAGGAATCAGCCGACATACCTTGCAAAGACATATCACCTACCAGATCCTTGGACAAATCATTCTTAAAGTGAAATGAGCAGAAATCGAAAAGGGAGAAAAAGCACTTGGAGCATGCAAGACCAAAGGGCAGGAGTGTTTCACTATTTGCTCAGCCCGTTGTTTCGTCCTATTGGTGAGAGAAAGGTTGCCAGCACAGTGATTTCCACTGTAGCCCATCTGTCAGATCACATGCCGTTGCTTGTTCCTTTCTTTTTTCACATTTGCTGCTGCGTTGGTCTTGCTTGGCGGGTGGCTGATGTGGCGCCACCCTAGAAATCCAGCTGCGCGGGCATTTTTCAACATTGGTTTTTAACAAATCTTTTCCGTACTGTTTGGAAGTATTGTGATGTACCCATTGTGTTCGTACATTTCTTGTTCACCCTTGGATGTTTAAATGTTCTGTTTTTGACATACCCTCGACCCTCCATCCTTTAGCGTGGCCGTCGCTTCCCTGCATGATTCTTGTATTTGGGCAGTCTCCATGCAGTTCTTGTCTACAACAAAATGTGCTTTCCTCCTTGTTTGTACACTCAAGGTAGCCTGGCTGCTGCACCGCCAAAGCCCTCTATTTACAGCCTTCGGCATGCCGCCGGCCACCAGCTCGAGCCCGCATTGGCAGGCAGCTTAATGATACAATACCCTGCTCAATCATACTTGTTGGTGCATTGGAGGTGCACATTTGGCTGGGTGAGTTTGTTGATGTTTATTTCAAGGTTGTTTGACCATGAAATGGAACAAATCCGAATCAGAGGTTGTCTATTCTGATCCAGCGATCCGAACCGGCATGTCTCAGTCGAATCACCTAAGAGGAACCAAGTGAAACCAACACAAGCAATGCGAACCAAGACTATCCACAAAACATGACCTTGAAAACGATTCTTCTTCCAAAC